ATCTGTGATGTGAACAGTTGTTTGTACAGGAATATTCTGATAAAAAGCATAAAGAGGCATACAATGATAAATGCATAATACAGGTACAACAATGAAAGAGTGCAATTCTTAAAAATACATCAGAGCCTGCCTGAAAAGACATCTGCAGTATGAACCAATATAAGAGGGTTGAATCAAATGAGGTAAGTGTTTCAAATCAAAACAGATGAGTCAAATCAGAAGCAACCACTATTGGTGTGAGTCACACTCCCTGGTAAGAGCACAATCCTATATTCAATGAAGAGATAGTCCTGTTCAATTTAATAGAGCTTTACACTCACAGTATGTCTGCTTAAGTTAGATAACCCTCAGGATCCCTACCAATTAGATAGTTCTATGATTTGCACATTAGACATCAGGATCCTAGTGAAAAATAATAGATTCTGCAAGCCCCTACACCCTTGATGCACAGGCACACACCTGTACTTCTTAGGTGCAGTAGATTTGGAACTTCTAATATGTATTTATTTACGACATTTATATGCCGCCCTTCTCACCCTGAAGGGGATTCAGAATGGCTTGCAAGATATATATATATATATATACACACACACACATATATATACATACACACACATTCATGTATATATACATACATATCTATATATACATACATACACATATATATACATATATATATATACACATACACACACATATATACATATATATATACACACACACACACATACATACAATATATTAGCAGAGTACAATATCAGTATTAAATCAGTATTAAATATCAATATCAATAGTCAATATGGGCATGCTGGCATAGAAATGACTCCTCTGCTGCTGTCTGTTTTTGGACTACAGCTTCCAGAATCTCTAAACTAGTTGGGAGCTGTAGTCCAAGCTGAATTGTGGAGTCATACACCCTTGTTTTGGAATTCTCTCAACTAAAATTGCATATTAGACCACAGGGGAAGAGGTGATTTTGTATCAGAATTGTGGAGCTTTTACAGTACATTTTTATTTGAACTGTGATGTTTAGTTAAACAAACAAAGGAATTGTAGAGTTGGAAGAAATGAAATGTAAAGTTGGAAGAGACCCCAAGGGAGTCCCTTAAAGATGTCCCATAATTTAAAAAAAGTTTCCAGAGGTTTGTACAAAACAGTGGCTCAGGGCTCTTCTAGTGTGCCATATAATCCAGACTATCAAGGCCGATAATCCACATTATTTGCTTTGGATTATCTGAGTCTACACTGCCATATTATCCAGTTCAAAGCAGATAATCTGGATTTTTTACGTGTGCGTAGAAGAGGCCTTAAAAGAGTAGGAATAAGGAGCAGAGTGCCTCTGAACCCAAGCTGAGCCCAGGAGTAGGTGATCACTATCTGAATCACATTCACAAATCTCTTTAAACAAAAATCCAGTTGATCAAAGACGAACAAGACAGGATTTGTGCGAAAAGGGCAAACATTTTAAAGAATGAGGAGAGAATTCAGAAGATGATTTATAATATCAATTCAAGAAGGTGAAGACAGGGATAACAAAGAAACATAATTACATTGTGTGCAAATAAAACTTGCATACAACAGTAAAAAAAATCCATTCCTGATCTTCCTCCAAGTGTTGCTGTCCAGTGATCAATTTTGGGAAGGGGAGTGGTGTATAGCTTTGTTGCTGTTAAACCAGTGGTTCTCAACCTGTGGTTCCCCAGATGTTTTGGCCTACAACTCCCAGAAATCCTAGGGCCCTTCCACACAGCTCTATATCCCAGAATATCAAGGCAGAAAATCCCATATTATCGTATTTGAACTGGAATATATGGCAGTGTGGACTTGTTTAAAGAGATTCTGACAAAGCAAATATTGTGGGATTTTCTGCCTTGATATTCTGGGATATAGGGTTGTATGGAAGGGCACCCAGTCAGTTTACCAGCTCTTAGGATTTATACGAGTTGAAGGCCAAAACATCTGGGGACCCACAGGTTGAGGACCAATGTGTTAGACAATCAAAATTTGCAAACTCTGGCTGAAAATAACTTAAAGATCTACCAGTATATCACCATTATCTGCTTCTTGGCAGGGGGTTGGACTGGATGGCCCACAAGGTCTCTTCCAACTCTATGATTCTATAACCTCACCCTTCTAGATGCACATAATATGCAGACAAGCTAATGTTATCCTAGAAACAGACTGGTACTCTACTAAGAAACAAGGTCAGCCCTCTCAGAATCACAAAGTCACAAAGTTGGAAGAGACCTCAAAGGCCAACGGGTCCAAGGCCTATGCAGGGACACACAATCAAAGCACTCCTGACAGATGGCAATTCAGCCTCTGCCAAACACCTCCAGAGAAGGAGACTCCACTATACTCCCAAACAGCTCTAACCATCAGGAAGTTCTTTGTCATCATTAGGTTGAATCCCTTTTCCTACAATTTTAATCCATTGATCGTTGTCCTACGATGAATCTACCTCCGAATCAACGCAGTTTGATACCAATATTGCCCTGGCTCGTCACTGTGGAATCCTAGGATTTGTAGTTTGGCGAGACTCCAGCAATCTTTGGCAGAAAAAGCCAAAGACCTTGAGAAACTACAAATCCTAGGATCCTGTAGCATTGTGGCATGGCAGTTAAAATGGTGTCAAACTGGATTAATTCTTCCTAAGATTAAGGTACAGTATTCCCTTGCTATATCGCAGTTCGCTTATTGTGGAATCGCTGTTTTGTGGGTCCACAATAAGAGGGGGGCTATGGGGGGGAGGTAGAAGAGGAGGGGGGAGCCAGGCACTAGGCCTTACTCTCGGACTTGTCTCCACCCACTCGGCAGTGGCCTTGTCCTCTTTGCCGAGTCTGCTGCTTGCCACCTCGGAGGCCATCAACTTGTCCAAGGGGAAGAGGACTTGTGCTCCGTTGATGGCACTGCAGGTTGGACCGAGGCCTCAGACCGGGACTCAGCCCAGCCTGGCAGTGCCATCAATGGCACCTAAAGGGGCCTCCAAGGCAGTGAGCAGTAGATTCGGCGAAGAGGACGAGGCCGCTGCTGAATGGGCGGAGCGTCCTTTGCAGATTTTCACTTACTGCGGGTGGCTCTGGAATGGATTACCCACGATAAGTGAGGGAATACTGTACATTCGGTTATAAGTTGGCCATCTCCACTTTTTCTCTCTGTACTTGTATTTTTATAATTTTGCTTGGATTAAATGTATACTGTATGTTGTGTTTATATCGTCTGTTTTGATAAAATCAATTGGTTAATCAATAAAATAATTTCGTTTATGTGCATTTATTATACAGTGTAGATGCATCTTTGTCTTTGGAGCAGCAGAAAACATACTTGCTCCCTCCTCTTAACATTAAATGAAATTATACTCACTTATAGCATGCGGCCAGTGTATACTTAAGGTAGCTTCCATGTAGGAATGGATATAATACTTGAAAATATCTGAAAATTGTATTAAAATTGGCTTCTCAACTGCTGAGAGACCCTGCCATGGAGAATCCTAGTTAGGTGAGAATCTCCACCATGTAGAACTTACCAGTACTCTCTGCCAAAAATGAATGTAGTTTCATGCACAGAAACACAGAAGACAGCATTTTTGTTCAGAAAATGAGGAAAAATAGGTATCCAAATCTAGTCTGCAAAAATATCAGTTTCTGAAGATTTTCACACAGTGAAATGACAAACATTATTCATTGTTGTCTGAAAAAACAACATTTAGGAAGGCCCACATCCCAACGTGCATGTCAGTGGGACAGTGAATCCATTGTGAGTTTTAGTCTGGACTTTATAGGCCCCGTTTAAGGTGCTGAACCTGTTGTGAAATATAGGATTCGGTACCCTGGATAGTTAATTGAAAATGTATTGTCGAAGGCTTTCGTGGCCGGAATCACTAGGTTGTTGTAGTTTTTTTCGGGCTATATGGACATGGTCTAGAGGCATTCTGTCCTGATGTTTTGCCTGCATCTATGGCAAGCATCCTCAGAGGTAGTGAGGTCTGTTGGAACTAGGAAAAAGGGTTTATATATCTATGGAATGACCAGGGTGAGACACTCTTGTCTGCTGGAGCTAGGTGTGAATGTTTCAACAGACCACCTTAGCCATTTATATGCTAATCAAGGTGGTCTGTTGAAACATCCACACCTAGCTCCAGCAGACAAGAGTCCTTTGTCTTACCCTGGTCATTCCACAGATATATAAACCCTTTTTCCTAGTTCCAACAGACCTCACTACCTCTGAGGATGCTAGCCATAGATGCAGGCGAAATGTCAGGAGACAATGCCTCTAGACCAAGTCCATATAGCCCGAAAAAACCTACAACAACACAGTTCATTGAAAGTTTGAAGAAAACCCAGAGTTGTTTCCTTACCCCCGTTGACATGAGAGCTACTGTCTGCCACACTTCCAAAGCAGGACATTTGTGCACCTTTGTGCTCATATATTCAAGTAGCTTATGTTTAAAGGCATCCACTCCTCCTAATTGATATATTCATTGATAGCCATTTTGTTGATCGTTGCTCATTAATTAGTAAGCATTCTACACAAATTTGTCTATGCTTTTGAAAAAAAAATCTGGGTTGGCCTCCATCACTACATTTTTTATGGTGGATTCCATAGTCTGAATATATGACATGAAAGAAATACATTTTTCTGTCCTATCTCATCAGATAGAATATTCAATTCTAATATTGTCAAAGGAGAATTTTTTTTTTACCTTATCCATTTTCTCTATACCATGTGTAAATTTATTTGCCTCTACATTGGCCACTACCCCTCCATGTTACCAAATATTATAATGAATGAATGAATGGTTTATTGTACCAGCCATAGGCCATGACATCACATATCATACAACCTTTAAAAGTACAATGCAATAAGTACAATAAGCAAATGTTGTGATCTTTTATTATCTGGTGTAGCATTCGCTCCTTGACAATTTTGATTGCCCCTTTCTGTACCTATTAGTTCTTTAGTTAGCTCAAACATACAATAATTTGTATTTCTTTCTGAAGCAGGTGCAGATATCTTCTATGATCACCAAGTTACTCAGCTCTACCTCCGTGACGGGAAATGGGAAGTCTGCGTTAATACTGGCTCTTCAGACCAGTTTGATGTGGTTATTCTTACAATGCCTGTTCCACAAATTCTTCAGCTTCAGGGAGACATTGGGAATTGTAAGTGTTAACATTCATTTTTATTTTATTTGTTTATTATACGTACAGGCTGAGCATCCCTTATCCAGAATTATGTGATCCAAAATTGAGTGAGTGATCCCTTTGATTTTTGATAGTTCAATATACACAAGTTTTGTTTCATGCACAACATTATAAAATATATTGAATATAAAATTACCTTCAGGAGTGTATGAAACATAAATGAATTTCATTATTCAACTTAGGTCCCAATTCCAAGATATAACATTATGTATGTATATTAGGCTTGTGTGCAGATCCATTTTAGGCATTATTTCTTTGGCCAATTCAGGTTCTTCAGTTTGGTTGGATGGCCTTAATGGCAAGGACCCAGCCATCATGGTTTCCCGTCTATAACAAGACCACATGGCAGTCAGTCACGGCCCCTCCTCAGGTTTTTTTTTGGGGGGGGGAGTACATGTCTGCCCGGAGAGGCTGCCGCATGCTCCTTGCATGGCGTTTCCCTGTGAGCCCTGCCTGTTGGGCCAATTGGAGTAGAAGAACACTGTGGTGTCCCTCACACAATCTGAGTCTGCTTTCCTAACCATGTTGCTGAGACCCAGGCTCCCTTGAAGGGAAAAAAGGAAAGGATCACAGGACCCTTGTAAATTCCCCATTGCCGTCAATGGGTGAGATCTAGCTGTATTTTTTGGCTGCGGACAAAAAAAACGGCTACCCGGCTACCACCCATATTTGGTAGGCGGCTGAAAACAGATATTTTATTTATTTATTTATTTATTTATTTATTTATTTATTTTAAGCATTTATATGCTGCCCTTCTTACCCCGAAGGGGACTCAGGGCGGAGCACAACACAACACAGCAAACATTCAATGCCGAAACATATTATACCATACACATAGAAAATCATTAAAATCACATATCTGGGGGTCTACCAGAATCTGGCCAGCAGAAACTGATCAAGGTTCAGCCAAAATGCACAGGCCTAATGTATTTTCAAATACGATGTTCCAAAAAAATAAAATAATTGGAAATCTCAAATACTTCTGGTCCAAGCATTTTGGATAAGTGACACACCACCTGTACTTGCTACATAGTATTCATCATACGTCTTTGTTTTGTCCTCATAATTATCTGATGAGGAAGATGAAGTTGAAAAATTGTAATGGGTTCGAGTTTACCCAGTAAGCTTTTAGCCAATTAAAATTTGAGCTCTCGTATTCTTGGTCTTAGTACATCATTCTGACAGCTATACCATGGTGATATTTTATCTATTGGAGTTGTGCCGGCTATTGTGTTCTATTTTTGTTGTTGAGTTTATGTATTATTAAGGAAAACTAGATTGGGTTGTCTTTTCAAAAATGAGAGAATTGTGGTCTGAACGTGTAATATCAGTATGTAACATAATATAGCACAGAATCTTTGATGCAACACTGTTTTAGCTATTACAGCAACTGAGAGAGTCTGTCGAGCAGAAAGAAAGTAGGAATTTCACAGTGTGCTATGGCTTTTTAAAAGTAGTAAAATTGAGCTTTACTATGTCAAATTGAAAATATTAAAATGAGAAATTCTTTATCAAGCTAAAACACCGAGAATGTGCCTATGTCCTGCTTTACAGTCTTGATCAGAGAGGAATTGACAGGTTGCAACCTGAAATGTTCTCTAGGATTTTAAATGTTTTTCAAGGTTTTGATAATTGTGAAATTGTATGCAGCTTTTGTTGCCCAACCTCTGTATCTTGTGCTTGTCGTCGCAATTCCAAATCCCATCTTTATTTCCTTGTTGTTTGAAGCTGAGTTTTGATAATATTTTTGATTGTGCCTGCCTAATAATTTGGGAAGAAGGCAAAAACATTTACAGTTTCTTGACATTCTATATTGTTCTGTTAGCCGGTTTTGAAGATGGTTTTATCTAGTGTCTTAGCCATATTCAGGAAAGGAAAGAAAATTAAAGGTACACGTGCTACAACAACTATGTGTAACATGCATTTCTAGCCGATTTGCGGGTGAAATGGCATGGCATTAACAACTGTTATTCAAGTACATAAAATGGTTTCTCCTAAATATCTGTATTTTGCTTATTGTTTGTGGATATAAGGTGAACACAGTTAATTATTTATGTCAACCAGTCTGTTGATTAACTACTTAGAGTAGATTATGTTACTTCTGTGTTCTGGTTTCTTTGGCCTTTGCCTGTACTTAGATTGTTGTACGTATTTTAGTTTCTCGTGCTAAATATATGAAGCTAGATTCTTGCTTGTGATACGTTGTGAGCCCATGCTTATATGTATCTTAGAGTTTGGATAAGAGGCTAATATTGCAAGTTGCACCTATTTGAAAATGTATTCTGTTGAACCTGGTGGGGCAAAACTCTTGAGTAAATGTGTTAAATAAGGAAGAAATAATTATAGATTTTTTACGAGTCATATATTTGATTGCTTGGTCATTTTTCTAAGTTCCATAGTGAAGGAAATAAGTTTGATAAAGAGAAATCCTCACATGTAGAGATTTTTGTGATTGCATATAATTTTACATTCAAGGCACTAGTGTAGTCTTCCTCTTCCCTCTTCCTTTTCTTCTTCCTTCTTCATTCCCATATATACCCCCTCCCTTCTCATAAGAATTGTATTGTTTTTAGTGTTAGCAGGTTTCGGTCTCTTTTTAAAGCGATAAAATAGGATAATAATAATAATAATAATAATAATAATAATAATAATAATAATAATGGGACTATTTCTTGTATCCTACCTTTCTCCCAATAATGGGACTCAAGGCCGTTAAATCTGGAAGTGTTCCTCTTCTATATTTCTATTACTTTCATTTGTTACTTTAATAGTGCTCTTCTGAGGATATAAATCTAGAATTCATATTTAATTAAAGCTGAAATTTGGAGGGTTTATTATTTAGATTTTTTGCTCTTGGTTGTACCAAAGAGTCCAGATAAGGAGAACTAGATTTTTGTGGGAATAAACATATAAGATGTGTGCTTACTGTTTCGTTTTTACCAGAACATTCCTTTGGCAGTTTTACCTTATTTGAACTACGTGCAGTGAATACTATTGTGAAATGTTCCTTGAAACATGTTTGGACCTGGGACTTCCTTGCTTTGTATTTCGTGTGTTTGGAAAAGGTTTGGCATTCCAAGGTTAACGGCGAATGAACCTGGAAGTATTTTACTTGTTGCACTGGAACCAATCTCGTAGCCGATGAGGCAATCCTGCAGTTGGTTGCAGTATTTTAAAGAGACGGTGGATGGCAGCATTCTAATGATCTTTGAAATGCCTAAATCAAAAGGTCCTGAAACATGTAAGCGGGGATCAGAGCTCTGTGAATAAATGTCAGTTGTTACGTGAAGCCGATTTTTGGTCTTTAAGTTATTATTTGCAGTAATTAAAATACAAGGTAGTAAAAATTGTTTGAGGACTTTGTAAATGCTATTAACATTTTGGAAAATATGTCTGTAACATATTAAATATTCTTCCCTGCCACCCCTACCTCCCAAAATCTGCACTAATATAGTTATCAACATACATTTGGGGAACTGAAGTTCAGATCTTCCATCTTGTTTAGTTTTTACGTGTCACGTCTATACACTTTGACTGGCGGCTCAACATGTCAGTTAATTCCAGAAAGCATTGTGGTTGAGGTGTCATGTGAAAATTCTGTCTGTGGTGACATATTTTTGGTGTTATATTCAAGCATGCAAGTCAGCAGGTACATGATTGTGACTTCAAAATCATGTGCAGACCTGTTCTGAGGGGGGTTTTTTTATTTAAAAAAAAAACCAAATTCAGTAAATGTTGTGTACTCCAGGATTCCTAGCATTAAGGCCATTCTGAATTGGAAGGCACATTTGCCATCTGGAAGAAAAAGAGATATACCCCTTTTAAAAATTTAGGATGATAGTGAGGTTTATTCATTTGTGGCCTCTGACTTTAGGTTCATAGTCTTCTTTTGTCCTTTTTTCCACCAGTATATGTTGAAAGAGCTCTTCCCCTATATAGTATTTGAATGGGAAGCCTTCCACATTTGCAATTTTGGCTTTTATGAATTTGATTAATCACAGATTTGATTGAAATGTTCTCTTTAGTAATCTCTAGATCTTCCAGTGTGATCCTGTGATCATCAAAGTGGAAGCATAGAGATGATACGAATACTAATACTAATAATACTAATAATAATACTTTATTTCTATCCTGCCCTATCTCCCAAAAGACACTCAGGGCGGTTTACAACAAAAATGGGCAAACATTCAGTGCCAAGAAAAGCATAACAAAACACATCAGATCATGCACAGCCAAATAAACGAATTCAAGGTATACTTATAAAACAACTCAATTATAAATTTAAATTTAATGTATTGTCGAAGGCTTTCATGACCAGAATCACTGGGTTGTTGTAGGTTTTTTCGGGCTATATGGCTATAGTCTAGAGGCATTCTCTCCTGATGTTTTGCCTGCATATATGGCAAGCATCCTCACTATCTCTGAGGATGCTTTCCATAGATGCAGGCGAAATGTCAGGAGAGAATGCCTCTAGACCATGGCCATATAGCCCGAAAAAACCTACAACAACCCAAATTTAAATTTATTTATTTATTTACAGTATTTATATTCTGCCCTTCTCACGCCGCAAGAGACTCAGGGCGGATTATAATGTACACATATATGGCAAACATCCAATGCTATAGACACACAACCCATATAGACAGACAGTCAGAGGCTATTTAACATTCCAACTCCCTGGCCACTAGGGGAGCTGTCGCTTCACCGTCCATCTGCGACACTGATGAAGTACTTTCCGCATTCCCCACATGTTTTGTGGAGATTTTTTTTATGGCCTCGTAAATTTGTCAAATTAGCCTCCCCACACATAGGTGGTACCTAAATTTCCTACTTGACAGATGCAACTGTCTTTTGGGTTGCAAAGGTCGACAACAAGCTACACAAAATTGGTCGGAAGCTCACTCCGACTTGAGCTGGCTTTGAACTCATGACCTTTCGGTCAGTAGTGATCTTAATGC